GGATGTGTAACATCAGTTTTAAACAGTACCGCTTCTCACTCAAACTTTATCTCTGGATGTGCACCCTAACATCTGGGGGAAAAAGTACCATTGTGTACTTGGTACACAATGTACCAATGTAAGAACATTGTACAGACCAATGTTCTCTCTCTCTTTCTTTCTCTCTCTCTCTCTCTCTCTCTCTCTCTCTCTCTCTCTCTCTCTCTCTCTCTGGGTGTTTATTTTAACATCAGGGGGAAAAAAGTATATAATATACTCTGTCTCACACACTCTCTCTCTTTCTCTCTCTCTGGGTGTTTATTTTAACATTGGAGGAAAACAGTATAAAGCAATATAACATACTCTCTCTCTCACTCCTTCACTCTCTCTCTCTCTCTCTCTCTCTGGGTGTTTATTTTTACATCAGAGAAAAACAGTATATAACATACTCTGTCTCTCTCTTTCTCTCTCTCTCTCTCTCTCTCTCTCTGGATGTGAACGCTAAAATCAGGAAAATGTACAACTGTATCAAACAGTGTAACATACTTTCTCTCTCTGTATATTTATATATATATACATATATTAAAAAGTTAATTGAATATCCTTTAAAAGACGTTGCAGAACCAACCCTAGCATCTTTTGGCTGTTGTGGTTTTTCTAGGCATATTCTAAGTTTGGTAGTTTGCTGTTGCTTTCTGAACTGTTAGCTCTCGGTACCACTGCCGAAACCAATGCAGCAGGGATCGAACCCGGCACCCCGACATTATGAAGCGGGTTCACAACGCCTAAGCCACAGATGCTGACATATATATATATAGGTATGGACAAGACAAATGTGATCAATTTGATGCTAGTCACTGTCATTTGTCCGAACAGTTTTGTGGTGCCTGTTTAAGGCTGAGTCAGTGTGGGAATTCTGATCAGTTTCAACAACCTGCTCATCTTGATGGGGATTCAAATACAAGACTTACAGGATTGTTACCCTGTATGCTTTTGTCTGGACACTATTGATCAATGTTTTAATTATCAGAACAAACAGAAATAAAAACACGAGGAGCCCTTGGGGCCACAAAATCAGTATAAATACAAATAGAAATAAATAGACAGGCATTCATTGGAAATTTTTTTTTTTTCATGTTCACTGGTGTAAACTCTGGCGAAAGGTTTTAGTTGTTTGTCCACCTCTTGTTCCAAAACCTGAGTGTTGTATGCGCAACTGTTTAACAGATCTGACTTAACTGTATGTGGATTGCTGGTTCCTGGCCTCTCAGGCAGATGCCCTTCTAACTTTAAAGGAAGCCTCCAGTTAGTCGACTCTTGTTGGGGAGGCAGTGGGTCTATTCTTGTTTTCCTCACAATAAGGCACCGGAATCCACACGGGGATCATTGGTACTCATACAGAGAACCATTTTGGCACATGGGTAAACTTAGTTGAACAGCCCTGCCCTATAGCATGAAAAGCTGTCCTTTGTTAAATACAGTTCTTTATTAATATCCTACACTCAGATGACGTCACAGCACAGTCCGACATTTTAGAGGGTGGTAAGACTGGGTTTCCCGGCTTTCTGACGCTTTTAACGACCCCAAAACATCTAGAACTGGTCCTAACCCCAACTCACCTATGTCCCAGGATAGAGTGCAGCCTAGGTCCCACGACTGCATGCAGCCTGAGTGCCACGACTGCATGCAGCCCATCTACCACCTCCTGAAATATTAGACTGTCCTGTGACCTGTGGATTTCCCCTGTTTGGGGTAGGATATTAATAAAGCACCCTAAATACTCATAAGTCAGATATTTCTTGTTAAGATTTTTAATAAGTCAAATATTGGGCATTTTTATAATATATATATATCACCGAAGAATTCTTAAAGCCGTTGACTTATCATCACAAGACTCTGTAACACACTGACTGGCACCATTAAAAAAAAAAGACAACAACAAAGCATCATTGCCATACAGAAGAAATATGTTCAATCCCTAGGCAGGTAACCATAGTTTTCAATTTTTATGTTTTCTAGTGTGTTTATTCTGAGAGAGGGATGAGATGTGGTTTTATAGATTAATGATGAGAATACCTTAGACAGATAAAAACAGTAATGAATTTATCTCGAAAGAAATTGACTTGCAAAGAGAACTGATTACCCACTCAGAAGGAAACAGTCTACATTCTTTGGTTACGACATGAAAAGTGGAGTACATCATGACAGTGGAAAAGTTGGATGCAAAAAGAGGCAGATGGAGACCAAAAGAAAGGATGCTTGACAGTTTGACATCATGGTATGGAAGGTCATGTGTGTCAGAACTGACTGAAGGTACAGGGGACAAAAGGTTGTGAAGAGACATGACTACCAATGTCATCAAGCATGGACTTTGAAAAGAAGTGTGACCTCCTTTCTATTGACTTTTTTCTTATGACTCTATGATTGCTGGTTTGTTAATTACAGTTTAGTTATCATTAAAATATCTTTACATATTGTAAAATGTAACAACCTACATCTCAAAAGGATAGTATCACGGAAGCTAGACATAAATGTTACACAAACTATACTTTCGGTTTATCTTTTGTAGTTGTATTAACATGGTTATGAACATTCTCTCTAGGAACTTCGTTTTGATGTTGATTCTGAGTAAGTTTAGGGTCGTCTCTGTTGTCAGATTTTGTGGATGTTGCTGTTTTATCGGCATCACCACTACCAACTCCGGAATCTGTATTATTGTTGATGCTGCTAAAAGGACGACTACTCTCCATACTATCCTGTCAAAGAAGAAAATAAAATATTGACATGCATTTACAGGGAATGAAGGAGCGTATGTTTTGGCTACAAAAGCAACAGCTAAATGAACACTTGCAGTGGATAAATAAGATTCTGAAAACCATTTATGAATAAATGCTCACAGAAGACACGAGGATACCAGAAATATTAGATGTATGAATGTGGGAATGTGGAATTAGGTATGGATATGGCAAGGAGGGATGCATGAGAGGCAAGAGAACAACGACGTGTGTATAATCAGTGAGCTACGGGTATAGCTAGTATCTAGATCTTAAGACATTTGAGGTGTGACGCTTGAACAACGGAACAACATCATGGCACAATGGTAATAACCCAAAAGTGCTCAGTTTTTCTTCCAACTCAAATCTGAGTCCGAAGAAGCTCAACACAGTGCACAGGCTCTGTAGCACTGGCGAAGATCCTGAAATACGTTAGGTAGAATTTTTAACTCAAAATGTTTGCCCGGGCATAGCCGCTAGGCTACTCTTTTCCATTTCTAACTGTCAAGAGATTTTTTTTACGTACGCAACAATGCAAACGGGCGTCCGATCTCACTACCAAGAGACCAGAAGGAATTACTAGAAGTCCAAGTCCATGTGAAAAAATCCCAGCCATTAGCACTCGAGGCAGACATCGTACCTCGAGACCATGCAGCCTCCTCACCTTAAGGCATTTGGAAGTCAGATTATCTATGGGTATGCCCCATGTGCAATGATTTCAATTATTAAATCAGTAATCAGCAGTTAAGGACTTCCTATGTTTTGCCAGTTAGGGACTGAACAGGGACTTACAAACACAAATAACAATATAAAACTATTTCTTTTTTTTTATAGTCCAAGCTGCATGGCATTAGTAGTCATGTCTCTCCATAACCTTCTGTCTTCTGTACCTCCAGTCATTCTGAATCAGGTGAGCTTCCATGCCATGCTGTCAAACTGTCCAGCATTTTCTCGCTTGGATTCCCTCTGCCTATGTTCACTTTAAACTGTCATACCGTAACAATGTATTTCAGTTTTTTGTAACTGACTCACAGTGCATGCTGAGAAAGATGTAGACAGGCATGCTTTGTGCAGAGTGGCAAGCATAACTTCAGAGTTCCCAGGTAGTTAGAATCCTTTGGATATTTTCTCCAGGAAATGCTGGTGTGTTGTACAATGAGCAGGGAGATAGACTGGCTGGTTCTGCACAGCTTGATGGTGAATTGACATATGACAAGCTAGATGTTGAGATAGTTCTTTGGAAGTAACTGAACATGTGGAGACACAGATGGATAATTACGGTCTGACACAGAAGGTCTTCCAAGGCGATGCGAGGAGTTACCAGGGGATTTGGCCGATGCTCAACACTCAAGGAAAGGGCGAGACGGATATACAGTCATAGAGTCACCAGTATCATCGCAATTGGAACTCTTCACTTGCTGCTGGAGATAGGGACAGAGGAGCGCTTATGGGGGTGTCCCGAGTGCTATGATGTTGATTCCTAACAACGCCTTCACTAACAGCATCATTATATGTTGTAGCTCTCTACTATTAATCCTCAATAATTTATAATCATTTTATAAATGATATGTGTATGTTGCACAGCAGCGGCACTTGAACAATCTATTTGAATGTGTTGAATTTGTTATAGTAAACCACCCCCCCCCCCCCCCCCCCCTCCCACCCCCTTTCCCACAATTCCTCTGATGCAATACTCCCTCTTAATCAAAGAGTTATCAATAATTTTTTTACATTTGCTGGAATAACTTGAATTTCTTGCCATACATTATTGATATTTGTGTTTATGTCCATAAAACTCTTAACTCAGACAATGATACAAGTAAGGCAAGGAAGACCTACCCCCATGATAGCCCACAATGGTATGGCATCTTCCCTCATACATGTAATGTAACCAATAAACTCTAACACAGCTGATGATAACTATCCTGATAAGGAAAACCTAGCCACACAAAGCTTGCTGCAGTATGGCATCTTTCCTCATACATCTAATGTAACCAATAAACTCAAATGCAGATTTTGATTCAACATGATGAGGAAAACCTAACCACGTGATGGTCATTTATAGGATGGCATCTTTCCTCACATATGTAATCTAACCAATAAACTCAAATGCAGATTATGATTCAACATGATGAGGAAAACCTAACCACGTGATGGTCATTATAGGATGGCATCTTTCCTCACACATGTAATCTAACCAATAAACTCAAATGCAGATTATGATACAACATGATGAGGAAAACCTACCCCCATGATGGCCCACTGCTGCAGCTGTGCACTGACCACAGCATCGTGGATAGTCACAAACTGAAACTGCTTGTTGCCGGTCTTGTAGAAATTGGTGCACTCAAACATCTCACGTACACTTGCTGAAAGCAATAACATTGTGTACACTTTACAATTTCAGTTTCATAAAATTTCAGTTTTATACAAGGATATACTTTTAGACATTAATGTTACACCAGGAGACATGTAGCAATAGTAATTTAAACAATGATTTCCTGCTAAACCTTAAGTCCATGCTTTCTTAACCTTTAAGCCAGCAGCTCCTCTACAGATTGTTGAGTTTAGTATAATTTAAGTAAACTTTCTGTATAATTGTAATAATCAGATTGTGCAGCCTTTCTTTGGGATATTTAAAGTGAGCTGCGATATCAGGAATTATGTATTTTACAAGTCAATGATATATCAGACTTTTTAGTGGGAGGACTGCTAAGAAAATTACTAATAGCGGGCTTTTCCCTGACACTTAGAAAAGTTATGTCTAATTAGATTTTGCTGATGCAAAATCGCCATTTTTGGACAGGGAGTCAAAAGGTTCCATTACCAACCCACAGAGCTGAGTCCCTGGTACAACACTGTAAGCTGTGGATTTCATGTGGGTTGTTTATTTAAGGTGTGCCTGCGGCATGTTGTTAAGTGCAGTAAAATGGCAGTTGGCTGATTAGTTCAGAGTTGTGTCAATATTTGTGGGTATAATTCTGGCTTTGGTGATTGCACCATCAGTGGGCTGCAATTCTGGTGTAGGATCGTTAGTGTTGGCACATCTGACAGTTGCTTTATGCATTTTTACTTTGTGTGTGCAAGCTTCAAGATTTTGTTGGGACTGCAAAGTTTTTTTAAAACTAGTTTTCAAATGAGATTTTGGGGACATTTTGTGAGGTTTTGACTGGCACAGGAATGAAGCTGTTATGGGGCAACCCATTTGCAAAGATGTTTAAACCTCAACTAACAACTAACTAATGATTACAATAATTACATCACCATTTATCAGGTCCTGGAGTACATCGTGACAGTAGGAAAGTTGGAGTGGAGGAGAAGCAGAGGGAGACCGAGAGAACAGATGCTAGACAGTTTGACAGCATGGCATGGAGGATCACCTGGGTCAGAGTTAACTGAAAGTACACGAGACAGAAGGTTGTGGATAAACAAGGACCACCAATGCCACACAGCATGGACTTTGAGAAGAAAAAATCAAGTTCTTTGCAGATTATCACTACACCATGATGCACAGGCTATGGACTCTGAGTGTTGGCTACTGAAGAAGGGGACGGAACACGTATGGAAATGTCCCAAGTGAAGTGATGTCAATTTTTGATTCATTCATTCATTAACTACACTATGGCCCATTCAAAAGACATTGAATCCTTTATTAGTTTCTATATATCAGTCCTGTAAATGAACACTAAACTTTTTAATGTTCTTTATCAACTGTCATTTTGTTTAGCACTGACCACATCTCCAGAGAATTATTTTTCCATTTCTGTGTTTTTTCTCTCCTTCTAAATTACTTGTCTTTTTTGATTTCATAAAAAAAAATTTAGTTTCTGATATATGCTTTTCCGTGTGGGTTCCAGCGCCATTTTGTGCGAAAAAGGGGGGGGGGGGGGGGGGGGGGGGGGGGGGGGGGGGGGGGGGGGGGGGTGGGGGGGGGGGGGGGGGGGGGGGGGGGGGGGGGGGGGGGGGGGGGGGGGGGGGGGGGGGGGGGGGGGGGGGGGGGGGGGGGGGGGGGGGGGGGGGGGGGGGGGGGGGGGGGGGGGGGGGGGGGGGGGGGGGGGGGGGGGGGGGGGGGGGGGGGGTGGGGGGGGGGGGAGGGGGGGGAGGGGGGGAGGGGGGGGGGGGGGGGGGTGGGGGGGGGGGGGGGGGGGGGGGGGGGGGGGGGGGGGGGGGGGGGTGGAGGGGGGGGGGGGGGGGGGGGGGGGGGGGGGGGGGGGGGGGGGGGGGGATTAAAAAAAAAGACCCACTGTGCCCAAGGACCCATGTTGTAAAAGGTGACTAGTGTGGAGATTGCTAAAATTGCTAATTGTTCAGCCAAAAAATTATTATTGCAAATATTATGAAATCAGACAAATTAGTTTTATGCATGAGATTTAAAATATGAAACTCACATTTGCACTGTGCCAGGTAAATTGTGATGTTAAAAGCCTTGAATTCTGTAATCACCTGAAGATAGAACCAAATTAATAAGATTAAAATTTATTTTTAATGTTGTTATCTGTGTAGCAAGCAAGGAGTAGTAGAACAGCAAACGTGAGGCGCTCTGAATGAAGCTGTCAGTATTTCATTCTTGTTCTTCTTTTTTCACGGCTGTAAGCTTCCGCGGAAAGTCTGGGCTGTTTGTCCATTTGGACTTTGGCTTTGTGCCAGGGCCTCAGTTTTTTGTGTGCATTCGTTTAACTGGCCTATTTGTGTGCGGTTGGTTGTTCCTTGCCACTCTGGCAGACCCACTCCGACTTTGAAGGAACCTCCAGTTAGTCGACTCCTATGACATGCTTGTAAGGGAGGCAGTGGGTCTATTCTTGTTTTCCCCACAATGGGATCCCCAAACCTATATGGGAATATTTCATTACTGAGATGAGACTCAAACAATAATTAACACATGTTGTACCCTTATCCAACAAGGCATACCATATGCGGGTAGTACTTGGTGTAGCTAATATAAATAAGTTAATTATAACTTCTTTTTCTAGGGATGAAAAGGATATCCAAGATTTGCCTAACTGGACTGGCATCCTGGATGCCCTCGTTTGAAATTGCAGGGGTTGTCAAACCTTCAGGTCCCCCCCCCCCCCCCCCCCCCCAACTCCCACTCCCAACTGTTTTGAAATACTTATCTGTCAAGTCACATGACTTTATTTTCTTTAAAAAAAGAAAAAGCATCAGCACTGACCACAACATGTCTTTACAAAGGTACCTGTATTCATCACAAAGTGTCTAATACAGTAGAATTGATGCCTGAAAAAGGTGCCGGTACTGTATACTGTTACATACTCCCAGGCAAAAGCCTTAGGCAGTCATAACAATAACTGTTTCTATCTTGGGACAGCCAGCAGTACTGAAGTTTTACAGCAATGTGCAGCTCTGTGGTTTCAAGGTTGGTGGATTGAATCTTTTGGCAATTTCATGATGCTCGAACACTTTCAGTGATGGATGGTTATTAAAAAAAAAAAATTGTTTTTGGATGCACTGTAGCCAGTATTCATCATGAACATGGAACATATTTTCGTTTTGAATACAATGTTAAACTAAACAGTATCCTGTCCTAAAAATTTAGGTTATTTTTCGCTATGTGTCATGGTGGCCTAGAGAGAGCTGTGATGGAGGGCACAGTTTGTGGAAAAAATGAGGCAGAGGCAGACCACCTTGAAGATGGTTTCAAGACCTTGAAGATGCACATAGGGCTAGAGATTTGGCTAGAGAAAGAGAGACTTTCAAGTGTTCAATGACCAGACTGATGCTCTGTAAAGGATCTGCTGAATGATTGAGTGTTGAATTAAGAATTAACATCACAGCACTCTGAACACTCCCATAAGTGCATTATCCCCATCTTCAGCAGCATGTGGAAAGTTCCACTTCTGAAGGTACCAGTAGCAGTGTACATTCGTCTCTCCTTTCCCCTGAGTGTTGAGCATCAGCCACATCCCCTGCTCATCTGCCCTATCCCCTGCTATCTCCCCGCAGCACTATTCTCCTCAAACAGTAATGATCTATTTGTGCCTCCACACTGTTCACTCACTCCCAAAAAGCGCCTGCTGATTGTTGATGATGATGATGTTAAACTAAACAAAAGCCTCACCTGCTGTAAAACCTTAACACCCATGGAGTCAACGTAGCTCATCGTTGAGCAGTCTAAAATGATGAAGTTGATATCCGTCAAAGTTGGCAGCTCTTTGATACGGCTAGGATCTGTTTCCATTTCTATTCTGATGCTGCTAGGAACTGTCGAAGCGGACCCTGTTGTTGTGGAGGGCGTCACCACTGACTGACTATCTAGTTTCGATGGAGGTAGAGAAGTACTGTTCACCTGCTGGTTGTCATTTTTGCACACAAACTCTAGGTCGCTGTCTTCAGGGGCAAAATGTGTGCTGCCCATAGGGTCCTTGTATGAGAGATAAATTTGTAAGCAGTGATTACAGGGTGTTTCATAAGTTTCCATACAAAAGAAAATTAAACATGTGCGTGTGTTTGTGTATGTGCATGTGTGTGTGTGCATGTACGCACGTGCGCATGTGTGTGTGTGTATGTGGAGGGAGGGGGAGAGACCCACTGCCCTCTAACAAGCATGTCATAAGAGTTGACTAATTAGGGATGTTTCCTTCAGTGTTAGAATGCAACTGTCCGAGAGTCGAGGAACCAAAAGTCTACTTACAAATATGCTATATCTGTAAAATGGATGTACATGCAAAGCACAAGTTCTAGAATAAGAATGAAGTCCAGAAGTGGATGAACAACTAGAACTTTCCGATGAAGTTTACAGCTGACTGATTTTGAGAAAAAGAAAAGAAGAAAGACACATGAATGGATAGGTGAATGGATTTGGCTTCAGTGGATATGATCTGATTTCTTCTTCCTCTTCTTCTTTTCTTTCTCTTTCTTTTAGAACTGCTATTTGAATTGTTGACTACAACTGTGACCTCAAGAGCTGCATCCTGGATGGTAATCCAAGACAGCAAATCACATATATCCCTTTTAAACACCAGAAACAGTTATAATTAGGGTATTTATAATGACATTTTAAAAGATCTGAACAACAAGGAAGATTGGCTAATAAACAGCATCTTATCTCAGAAGCTGAAATATTTTGGTCATATCAACTGCCATGGTGGACTGGAAGAAATAATAGCAGAAGGCATGGTACCAGGAAGGAGGGGCCGGGGCCGACCAAGATGGAAGTGCATGAGATGGAAGAGCTGGCGAGAGATCCAGTTTTTTTCAGGCAGACTATGATGAGAGCGATGTTCTACATGACGGTGATAATGGACACACCAAGCTCTACTGTGGTGCTTCCTGCTATCAAGGCTTGTAAAGACGCAGTTAACTTCTTTTGTTAGTTAGTCAATAGATGGATAGGTAGTGAGCAGGCTGGCAAATTGCTGCTGCTTCTCTGAATGGAGAACTATTTTATGACAAAGCGGATGTGATGAAGATCTCTGGAATCAAATTAGCAGTGCATCAGAATAGAAAGAGATTCGAAACATCCAGTGATGCCCCCACAAGAGGCAAGATATAAATGCTAACAAATATTTCAGTGGAAAAAAAAAAATAAGGCCTCTTATATGAAACTGCCACGCCCCCGTGTGGGTTCCGGGGCCCTATTGTGGGGAAAAACAAGAATAGACCCACTGCCTCACCAAAAGCATGTTGTAAGAGTCGACTAACTGGGGAGCTTCCTTTGAAGTCGGAGTGCATCTGCCGGAGAGGCAAGAAACCAACAGTCTGTATTCAAGAGAATGAGATCTGTAAAACTGATGCACGCGCAACACTCAGGTTCTGGAGCAGGACTGCAGTTTAGTAGTGGACGAGCAACCAGAACTTTCCGCTAGAGTGTACAGCTGGTGAAGGCGAAGAAGAAGAAGAAGAAGAAGAAGAAACTGCCACGGATAAAGAGCTAGACACCAACATTACACTTATTTTGACCTACCACACTCATTTTTAACAAACTCTTCTCATCTCTCTTCTTTTGTTTATTTTAGTTTCCTCTGTTTCTTCTTCAGGACATTTGGATCCACAGTCAGTTTGTAGAGAGAACTTTTGAAGAATTCAGCATTGGCAAAGAACAGCGCCGAGTCAAACCTGAAGATCTTAATGCCTGCAGTTTCTTCTGCCTGCAAAATTTCAAGACAAGAAGTATCAAACATTTATATTCAATTGTGAAAAATAAACATCATGCCTCCATCTTTTTTCTGGAGCTCACTGGGGAGGGGGAGGAAGAAGAAACTTTACAACCTTCTTCTTCTTTCTACTTCTAGAATGCCATGCAGCATCAGGACTGGAAAAGATCTCTAGAACGGGCCCTTCTGTTTGCTTCGTGTATAGTACTTTTCAATGCCTCTGATACTTCTGCGCTGTTGACCTCTGGTTCTGTTACTGTTGTATGTGAACAACATTACTCTCTGTGGTGCCCTGTCTGATGTCAATCTTGTTACATGGCCAAAACATGTGATTTTTTTGTCTACCTATAAAGTTCAGTATTGGTTCCCTGCCGACTCTCCTCCTGGTATCATTGTTCATAAGTTGATCTATCCTCCTTACACTTAGCATAGCACGTAAATATTTAAGTAAAAAAGTTATGGCGTATAGGCATATAGCTAGACGACCAATGGCTGGATCTCAGCATCACGCCGGCCGCCTCTACTTCCCAGAACTTGCACCTGGTACCCACTCAAGGCTGGGTCGACCTGGGAGCCAAGGTCATTTCTGTAAAAAGTTAAGCTCCTCCAGGGAGCAAACCCACGACCTTTCGATCCACGGCGAGCGACTAGCCGCTCCGCCACGGGGACTCCCAAATATTTATGTCGTGACTATTTTCCTTCTTTCCTTTAAAGACAGTGTCCATGTTTGACATTGATAGCATAGCAATGGTAAGAATTTTGTGTTGAACACTGTTATTTTGGTGTTCATATTCACATACTTTTAGGTAGGTAAGTTGTACCCCACCAGGACATCACACAGAGCGATAAACACCCAAAAACACAAATTGTTGCGGCCCTTGGCAAGAGCCAGAGTAGAGCTTCAAATATTGAAAAAATTGCATCCCAAAAAGGGATGACAAGATAACTAGCATGACATACTTCTAAGCCTGACTGACTTTCTACCCAACCATCACACAAGCGATAAACACCTGATGACACAATGTGCCACCATGTGTATGAGGATCACCCGTGTAGAGGTCCCAGAAACGGCGTTCAGCCATTAGACCATATTTATGGCTGGGCTATATTGTGGCCCCCGTCAAGAGCCAGAGTAAGGCTTCAAATAATGAAAAATTTCATCCCAAAAAGGGAATGACATACTTCTTTGACTTGAGTTTCTACCCCACTAGGACATCACACAAGCGATAAACACCCGATGACACAAAGTGCCACCATGGGGATGAGGATCACCGTGGAGAGGTCCCAGAAACCGCGTTCAGACAATTGGCCATATTTATGGCCTGCCTATATTGCGGCCTCTGGCAAAAGCCAGAGTGGGGCTTCAAATAACAAAAAATTACGTCCTCAAAAAGACGTGTGTGTACTTCTTTTTCAAAACTGGCGCCACTTGGCTTCAAACTTGGTTGGCTTTAAGTACACAATGATCATCTATAAAGCCTTAATTATTACTTTGAAACTAGTTTAATAAAACTACGTAATCATTCTATGATCTACATAAAGTGGGATACAATCACACATTTACTTCTTTCTATTCACTGTGGTTGCTTAAATAATGCCACACATCACTTGTTATATCAACGCTTATGTTAATACTTCAGTTGAAGATATGTCCCCTGAACCAGTGTAAGGTTGTAAATGAATACTTCCTCCGAAGTTGGATGGTTCAAACACAAGAAAATAACAGACTGCACAAAAATAAGCAAGTTCTGTAAAACTATTGCGCACCCAGCATTCAAGTCCTGGAACATAGCTGAAGTCTTGAAATGGATGTACAACCAGGACTTTGCAGGGAAGTTTACAGCTGGTGAATGGCAACAGTGAACAAATGAATACTCACAGATTTGTACACACTAATATCTCTGTATATATCTGTTCCTGGCACTTGACCCAGCAAACATGAGTATGGCCTGCAAGAAACCATTACATATATTTCAAACTCTTATGCAAATATTTATTACTTCTTCAAAACTTATTTTTTTTTCATTTCAAGCAACATGTTATATGTAATCGTTTTCCTTTCTGGTAAATATATATTATTTATCTCGCATTAATTCTTTGAGTCCCAAGGAACGCTTCAGATGTTCATAGGTTACCTGCCTAGAAGCGCAATAAACGCATGATGCGCTGATTTTACGTCTGTCTTAACTACCCCTTGGGCGTGTGATGCTAAGCTGTCTGGGACTCAAAGAGTTAGGTAAAATAGTAAATACTGTCGTCTTATTTTGTTGTCTCACTGAAACCAAGTTGCATCCCAGTGTCGTGGTTTTCTATAATTGTCTTAAGTTTCTCGAGTGGCTTGTGTGATGGATTATTCACCTGTTTGCAGGATTCAGCGACACCATTTATCCATCTCTTTCTTGGTCTTCCTCTCACTTTTTTCTCAGATGTTCTGCTGTAAAACTCTCATATGCAGTTTGGTTTGGCTGCATTCTCACATGGGAGATAGAGATTTAAATCCTCTTTAGGGTTGTAGATGTTTTTCTGTCGGTGGCACATACAGAATCCTAACCTGCACAGTTCATGGCCCTAAGTCCTCAGGCTCAAAGACCCCTTGCCTACACTGCAAACGTACACAGCAGAAGTGTTTAATGCAGGGACTAATGGCAATTTAAGTTTCAATGATAAATCTGTTACCTACAGCCTGATTGGCTGTTATTCCTACCTCTGAGATCGAATGATGACAGTCAAAAGGCCAAACCCGACACCCACAAGCAAGCCCAAATCCACATCCAACAAAACTGTGGCAGCAAAAGTTATCAACCATACAGTCTAGAAAAAGCAGAAATGATGAATCAAGACTTAACAGGGTAATTTGCAATAAACAGTTAGAGGTTATATCAGTCATCCCTATGTGGGATCCACATTTTTGTTATTTGAAGCCCCACCCTGGCTTCTGAATATAGTCGGGGCATAGATATGGCCTAGCCATAGAAATGCCCTTACGGCTGAAAGGGGTTGCCAGGACCTCACCACAGTGATCCTCATTCGCATGGTAGCACTTTGTGTCACTGGGTGTTTATCGCTTGTGTCATGTCCTGGTGGGGTAAAAAAAAGTCAGTCAGTCAGTCAGAGGTGACAAAGTGCTTTCTTTAATTTTTTTTTCAGTATATTTTCAAGAAGTTATCAATAATTACTGCTTCCGTGGCTAAGGGGTTGCGAGTCCTACTCGTAATTCCAACTTACCGTGATCAAAACCCACTGCTGGCTACGTGAATTTTTATCATGGTTTTGGGCATCGCTGGTCAACCCAGCCTAAAATGGGTACAAGGATGGTTGTCCTGTGGAAGTAAAGACGGCCGGCGTAATGCTGACCACATTACCGACCCAATGCCAATTGGTCTGTAAAAATATGGAACGCTATTCCCATTTGCCTGATGCACCTAAGGGCGTGAATAGGGATCAATACTTACTCCCCTCATGGGTTCCCTGCTCCATCTTTTGGCCCAACAATTTTGATTTCTGCCAACTCCTATTTGGCAGCCTTTCACAAAATGTCTGTTAAAAATCATACAAAATTTCCTTCCCTGTCCAGTTTGATTTGATTTGATTTGATTCGATTCAAGAACCGACATCACAGCACTCAGGGCATTCCCATAAGCGCTCCATCCCCATCTTCAGCAGCCAGCGAGGAGTTCCGATACTAATGGTGCCAGTAGCTTTCTGATTAAACGTCCATCTTGCCTTTCCTCCGAGCCTCGAGCATCTGCCAGAACCTCTCGTCACCTCCAACCGCATCAATCTTACCAAACTGTGGTGATCCATCTGCTCCTCCGAATTGTACATGCTCTCCCACAAGGCACTAACCACGTCTGCCCTATCATGTAGCAGTATTTCAGTTTTGAAAGCAATTGAAATAAATTAGTCCCAAAAATAGCTATAAGCTTGGGCATGCAGTCAATGCTTCAGGCAGCTGCCAAAAGTGCCAATACATCATTGGTGGCATGTCTTTTTAAACAAGAATACCACGTGTCCTTGTTATCTTTCTTACTGTTTCTTTAACTCTTTTCATTCTACAAGAACTATCTTACCAAAGGTAACTGATAAGCATCAATATCCAATAGTGAAATAACATATTTGTTTTTAAAATCTGTATATCCTAATTATCATCAGATAGTTACAGATATGGCCAAATCAGATGGGTTGAGCTGGATATGGTTGTAAAAACTATTACTACTACAACAGTTGTCTAGGTGTTGTGAACGCCCTTCAAAATTCTCAGGTATTAGGTATCCATTTTCATTCAAGCTGCGGGCAGTTTGACAGCAGACCACCTAGTGTTGATTTCTACACATGTATTAAGTGCCGATTCTTCAGGAGGCAATGACAAACATAAAATTGCATAGTAAAACTAAAAATCCTGCCAACAAATACTGGGTTGGTGCTGCAACACCCTGTAAAGCATATGCAATTAACTCAAATAATAATTACCAAAATTGCTGACAAATATTGACTGAGATACTTACAAAGTCTATGACCGAAACACCCCACAGTACTTTCAGGTCCAGGAATTGCAAGAACATCCCTTTCAGTGCCACAAGGATAATGCTGGCTAAAATACACTAGAGAAAATAATGATGATAATAACATTTACCACAAGATAAATACAGTTAAAAATTCCATGCCTAAATTATAATGTTAATTACAATTTATGTAAATGCTTATTTTTATGTACTTCTTCTACAAAGGAGACACAAAACACCCATTCATTGTCAATACCAGAAATTAGAACACTTATCAAGGAAAATACATGGAATTGTGGAGAGAACAAACAGTAAATATCCACAAGAACTCATCAACAGGCTCAACAGAACGCAAGATACAACAATTTTCCGTCTGCGAACAGGACACTGCAGGCTCAGCTACCACATGCATAAAATAAAGATTGTACAGTCCCCACAGTTTGCCTGTCAATCAGGACCACAGACACCTGAGCACATTCTGCAGACCTGCCCACTCTACCTACAACTTTGAAAGGACACCTGGCCTCAAAAGCAAAGTGTGCAGAGCAAGCTATATGGAACCATGAAGGACCTGCTGCTGACATGCGAAATTCATAGAGGCAATCCACTTGATGGTCTGATCTGAGACTGAACGCAAAGAAGAAGAAGATGTACTTCTTCTTTATTTATTTCTTTCATGCCAGTGGTTTTCAGGTGAGAAAGCTACAGGCCTCTATGAAGTGTGTGGTGTGAAGTTGGTTGTGTTTCCAATGGAAAGCCATCTGGCCTAAACTAGGATCTCTCAACTGCATGTAGCCAGCAAATTTGTAGCACACGTTCAGAACTCTGTGGAGCCTGTCCACACGGGCACAGTTCTAAATCTCCAATCTTGAATTTCATGTACCCGTGGTTGCAGTATGTTGTGTCCAGTACACACTCTCATTATAATGGTTTGTTTCTTTCTCTTTGTACTTACATGCAAAGTTTGACCTAAAGAAAATATATTGTTTAATTTACTTCTCTGCATGGGTTTTGGAATTTTGAGGGGAACAAGAATAGACTCATTCCCTCCCCCACCCCCTTCCCCCAGCAACATTTTTTTAAAGTGACTAATCCAAGATTTTTGAAAATCAAAAGAAAGAGGAAGAATATGTGAGTGACTATACAGTTTGAGAAAAAAATACAACACAAATGACGGAATACTGTGTACAAAAATAATATATAGTTTGTGCATACTTACATTTGGTAATGTTTTGAAATATGGCCCCACAAGAAGCAACACAATCAGAAGCAAAATACTGGACATGAGACCTGTCACCTAAAACATGAAAAAAAAAAAGACATATCAGTATGAACAAAGATGATACAAACAATAGATTCTACAATTTATTGCCTGAAATATTTAGCTGTATCATGTCAGGTGCATACTAACTACAGTAACAGTTGATTAAAATGAAGCAAATAAATGAATCCTTTGAACTGAAACACAGAATCGACTACTTTCAAAAACTGTCTTTTTCACTAGGGTAAACGCAAGGTGAAGACCGTGTATTTTTGCCTGCATAATTCTGGACTAAACTGGTTTATAGCGGTCACTTCACAAAATCTCAATTATCTACATTTGGCTGTACGGTTTATTTACACTTCAGTTAAGTAAATTCATCTGTTCTTTTAATTACTTTTTTTTTCTCTAGTGTTACGTCTGCTTCATTTATTGTTGGCGTCTTCAATATATTTGTCTTTTTATAACTTACTTGTAGTCCAATCTTTAAAGCTATATTTGCTAAATCATTTGTTCTTCTTTGCATGTTACTACTGTTTTAGCAGACCAATACTACCAAAACTGAGATCTTCCGTGTATTCTCCAACCCAGTTAATGCCGCTGTTTCCATCACAACATTTTTTCCTCACCCAGTCAATGGTTATGCCAAATAACAGAGGAGACAAAATGCATCCCTGTTTCACCCCAGTATCGACTTCCAACCAATCACTCAAACCATCATGCACTGCACACTCTGAACCCTCATACATTGCCTTTATAATATTTATTATTCTCAGTGGTATACCATAGCATTCGAAAATTCCCCACAGTGATGTTCTGTGAAAGCTGTCAGAATAATTCTTAATGTTGATGAAATTCAAAAAAGGGCTTGTTGATTTGTTAATAAATTCTTCAAAAATAAGTCTCAGGGTGAATATTTTATCTAAGCAGCTTCTTCCAGGTCAAAAAACCTGCTTTTTTCTCTCTCATAATTTTGTCCACTACCCATTTAATTCTATTGAGAATTATTTTACAAAAAAGTCTTTGACATTACTGAGAACAGAGTAATTCCTCTCAAATTGTAACAGTCAGGAAGACTGTGGAATGAGCGGAAGATCGTAACAACAGAGATGAGATGACTTTAGAAGAGCTGCTGGTGTGACAAGAAGAGATAAAATCAAAAATGAAGAAATTATAAGAAGACTAGCACTGAAACCAGTCATACAATTCCTTAAAGAACAAATGAGATGGTTTGGCCACCTGAAGAAATGTACCAACTGCCACAGAGAGCCACCCTGAAGAAATTTAATGAACACAGAGCCAGGGAAGACCACACAAGAGATGGAGCGACATCATCAGGAGCAACCTAACATAAATGAACACCAACTTGTACAATGCATTGAAAAAATCGCACAAACAATCCTTACATCTGCCCCCAACACCTCGGTGAGGTAAATGGTGGAAGAGAAGAAGAAGAAGAAAATGTAATATTACCTTTCTTAGGACTTTAAACAATTATTCCTTGAATAAATTATTCTTCAAATATTAAATAACCAAACATAATTACAAGCATTCATAGCTAATATCTAAACAAACCACACACAAAAAGACTACACATACTCTAGTTATAACCCAAAATGGTTGATTAAATAACTATTTCTACTTTTTATTTGGAAGGAACTGACCTGACTTCTGCCTCCAACGTTTTCTTGCACTAAACTTCTCGACAAGGAAACAGCAGAAACGAATGAAGAAAAAAATGATGAGAAGACATTGCACAAACCATAGGCCAGTAATTCCTGTGAATAAATCACAATAAACAGACAGCAGTTATTAAAGTGAATAAAATATTTTATATTTTGATGACTATTAGGTTATCATTATTGATGAACATTTGCTTAAATGAATTCAAGAATGTTTCAGGAATAAGTGATTGTTTGGACAACAACTAGTATTAAAACTTATAGAACAAAGAAGATGGTGGCATATTGGGCACATCATGTGGAGAATTGGACATAGAAAAATTAAACAGGTACTGAAATGGCAAAGAAATGGAATCAAGAAATGAGACGTCCAAGTGAAACCCTGAGGTGAATGTTGATGCCAAAGGTACTGGACTGGAATATATCCATGATGTCAAAAAGATGGCAAGGTTAGAAGGGAATGAAGGAATAGCCTGCAAGCCCATGTGATTTATAATGGATGATGATGATGTTAAAAAATCTGCACTAACTACAACAAAAATAAAAACAACACACCGTCATCCTTTATTTCGCAGCTTTAGCTGTTGAAGGAGATAAAGGGTAATGATCTTGCTCCTCTGGTAACTTCGATAATAAACACTTGATGTAGAGTTTGTCCAAGTTTTTCTTTCCTTCACTCACTCATTCTTTTACTCCTTTGGTTGTTAATGGAGTTATAATTCTGGTTCGCACTCTTCTGATCATCTCACCTAAACACACTTGATGCTATTGTAAAGTATTTCTGTTATCTAACCACAATATCAAAAGGTTCAATGTCGACGTTAGGACTGGTGATCCGTGTAACCAGAAATAACAGCAGAGCACCACTTAGTAGCATCTCTCATCTTTTGTCTGACACAATCAGATTCGTCAATCAATATTTGACTGACACAATCAGATTCATCAATCAAAATTTGACTGACACAATCAGATTCATCAATCACCATTTGACTGACACAATTCAGATTCGTCAATCAACAATTGATTGACACCATCAGAATTGTCAATCTTTTTCTTCACATTCATTGGCTGTAAACACTGTTGGAAAGTTCTGGTTGTTTATCAACTTCTGGACTCTTAATTCAAAACTGGAATCAACATTTGACTCCCATGATCAGATATATCAACTGATGTTTGAGTGGAATAGTTTCATAAATCACCATTTGAGGCGCACATTTCGCTTCATCAGTTGATAACAAGCAGCTTCACCAGTTGATATCAGCTTTATGAATTGAAATTTGATTGGTACTGACAGTACATTATCATTTTCGAAGAAATACAGAATGGTTTATTAGCCATGTCTATCCTCAGTACAAGGGCAAAACAATTAAATTTGTAAGATCGTCAATAGATCTAGCTGAGAGTTGCTGTGGTGGAGCGGCTAGACACTCACCTGTGGATTGGAAGGTGGTGGGTTCGCTCCTTGGCAGAGCCAGACTTTTTTTTCAAAAATGACCTTGGCTCCCAGGTCGACCCAGCCTTGAGTGGGTACCGGGTGCATTCTCGGGAAGTAAAGGCGGCTGTCGTGATGCTGACCACATCACCCATCTTGTGCCGATTGGTCTATAAAATATAAGTCTAGCCCTATATGCCTAAAGACGTGGAAAAGGTCCTTTACTGTACTAATAGATCCAGCTGTTTACCATCTTAAACACCAGGGAAAGGTGCAATGCATGCTGTACAACACTCACCTGGTTTGAGTCCACATCATAGTCATGTTTTTTAGCAAATATTTTGGCCATGGAGACCGAGATGGCGAATGCAACAATGGCAATTGCTATGGCATCAGAAATCACTTGGGGTAAGAATGTGAAGGCATTGAAGTTTGGTGGAGGAATTCTGTGGAGCCAAATTATACATGACTTTGTAATAAATATTTAGTGTTCAATGTTTTGTAAGTAATAATTAATTTATGATAAGTTAGTAATACTCCTGTATGACCAAAATAATTCAGCTTCCGAGACAAGATGCTGTTTATTAACCAGTCTTTCTGGATGTTCAGATCTGTTAAAATATCAGTATTTCTTCTCTTCATTGTCTGAGAATCTTTGAATAGCATTACAGCTCAAAAGCCCATATTTTCTTTCTTAAGGACGTACTGATGATTACATAAATTAAACATAAAAAGTCAGCATTTCTAGACATGTTATAAGAAGGAATCGACTCAAGAACTTGGAAATATTGCTGCAAAAAGAGAAAGAAAAGGGCAGAGAGATACACTGCTTGGCCATACGGATGAGGGCTAAACAAATACACTGACCTGATCCATGATTCTGGTGATAATGTGTTAATCAGTCAGCCAGTCAGACAATCAATCAGCCAGTCAATCAGTCAATCAATCAGCCAGTCAATCAGTCAATTAATAAGCTGGTCAATCAGTTAATCAATCAGTAGTCAATCAGTCAATCAATCAGATAAACAGTCAGTCAATTAGGCAGTCATTTAACCAATCAATCCATTAGCCAGTCAATCAATCCACCAGTCAATCAATCAGAAGTCAATCAGTCAATCAATCAGCCAGTCAGTCAGTAATTTGATCAACTAGTCAAATAATCAGCCAGTCAATCAGTCAATCAAGTAAACAGCAAATCGGTAAATTAGTCAATCAATCATCTAGTCAATCAGTCAATCAATTAATTAGCAATTCAGTCAATTAGTCAATCAATCAGCTAATCAATTAGCCAGTCAATCAGTCAATCAATCAGCCAGTCAATCAGTCAATCAATCAACCAGTTATTCAGTCAATTAATTAACCAGTCAATAAGCTAGTCAATCAGTCACACAATGGGCCAGTCAATCAGCCAGTCATTTAGTTAATCAATCAGCCAGTCAGGCAGTCATTCGATCAACTAGTTGAACAATCAGCCAGTAGATAAATTAAATAGCAAAGCTGTCAATCAGTCAATCAATCAGCCAGTCAATCGACCAGTCAGTCAATTAGTCGATCAATCAGCCAGTCAATCAGTCAACTAATCAGCCAGTCAATCAGTTCAATGAATAAGCAAGTCAAGTAGCCAGTTTATCAATCAACCAGCCAATCAGACAATTAATCAGCCAGTTATTCAGTCAATCAATCAGCCAGTCAATCAGCAAGTAATCAGTAAGATAGTCAACTAGTCAATCAATCAGCCAGTCAATCAGCCATTCAATCAGCGTCAAAGAATCAGCCAGCCGGTCAGTCAATTCATCAGTCAGTCATTTTTTTCAGTCAGCCAGTCAATCAGTCAGTCAATCAGGTAATCAGTCAATTAATTAGCCAGTCAATCATTCGCTCAATCAGCTAGTCAAGCAGTCAATCAATGAATCAGATACTCAATCAGTCAATTAATCAGCCAGTCAAACAATCAGCCAGTCAATCAATCAGCCAGTTAATAAATCAGCAAGTCAATCATTCAGCTAGTCAATCAGATAGACAATCAGCCATTGAATCTGCCAGTTAATCAGTCAATCAATCAGCTGGTTAATCAGTCAGTCAACCAGTAAATTAGGCAGTCAGTCAATCAATCAACCAATCAGACACTCAGCCAATCAATCAATCAGCCAGTCAATCAATCAGCCAGTCAACCAATCAGCCATTCAATCAATCAGCCAGTCAATCAGTCAGTTAATCAATCAATCAGCCAATCGATTAACTAGTCAATCAGTAAATTAGGCAGTCAGTCAATCAGCCAATCAATCTGCCAGCCAATAAGCCAGTCAATCAGTGAGTCAATCAATCAGACAGTCAATCAACAAGCCAGTCAATCAGCCAGTCAATCAGCTAGTCAAATAATAGGCTAGTCAATCCATCAATCAATCAGCCAATCAATCAATTAGTCAATTGTGGCGAGGTGATTTATGTCACAGGCGTGAGGGACAGTTAAGTCCAACATGATGCGTATAAGGAGATACTCCGTATGTCACTCGGGCGCCAGTCCTTCACTGTTCTGGTTTTACGGAACCTCACGCAAGACCCCTGCAGCACGTCCTCGTCGTGCGCCACGGATAATGTCTCAAATGAGCATTAACAGAGCTGTCAGGGGATCTCGGAGTTTGGCGGCCCCAGAGGTGATGTGTCCTTGTGGCTCTCATCAGCCCACCCCCAAACGCATGGGTGAAAAAGGTTATCAGAACTCATTCGGAACATGAGTAAAGTGCTTGGGAAACGTACAACTAAAATTACAACCCTCGGTTAATAGATTTGGGGAGTGAAGAGAACATTGTTCTGCTGAGACTCAACCCTTGACCTAGAGATTTACCCGCAGCACAGACGAGTAACATCTTCTATGGGTGGCGTCTCGCAGCAAGATTCTACCCATGTACATCCTCTGTTAACCCTCAGTGTCGTCGTCACCGCGCTGAGGTACACCACAATAGCAACAACCCATTGGCTGGCTAAGCCTAAATGTCCGACAAAACTAGATCCTACGGCACACGAGTAAGCTCAAAATCCGACCATCACAAATCGTATTGAATGGGGAAAAGTCCAAATATCCAGACCTAAAGACCCCACTCGCCCGAGTGTTGGGACCAAACAGATAACGATATGCTTGACGCAGGATGTTAAATTCTGTCTTGCTAACGGCTCGTCAAAGATATCTAACGTGCGAAGAAAAAGAATGTACCTATTCGTGTGGTCACAAAAGTCCAGAACCCGCGGGCTGCTCCCTGCTGATTTCCAGAGGGCGCAGCCCTTGTCGAGCGGGAGGCTTAATACGGTTGTGAGGTTAAGTTGACATGTGCAGGACGTGACGATTCCTTGGGTGAGCCCAGAACCAGAGCGCCATGTGCCGACTCTGCATACATGGAAGCCTCCTTGGATGGCGGGGAATGCCCATGATCTGCCCCTGCCTTCCCTTGAGAGCTAACCTTTCCACAAGGGGCTGCCCCCAAAGGGGTACTCCGGGGGCAATACTTGCGGAGAAGGCGACAAAGAGGACACCACACAAATCAGGCAACGTCTCGACCCACATAAAACAATGGCCACAGTCATCCTAGAAATAAGCCTGACGTCTTCCCTCGAAGTCGGAGTACATCTGCCAGCGAGGCAGGGAACAGCAAAACGGTTGTACACGCAAAACTCAGGTCCAGGTAAAAGCCAAAAGTCCAAGCGGACGATTAACCGGGACCTTCCGCCGGAATTCACAGCCGGTGAACGAAGAAGAAGAAGAAGAATTAGTCAATCAATAAATCAATCAGTCAATTAATCAGCCAGAGAATCAGTCAATCAATCAGCCAGTCAATCAGTCAATCAATCAGTCAGTCAATCAGTCAATTTATCGGCCAGTCTTGCACTCTTTGTCTTTTGTCTTTGTTGTACACTCTGATAGACTACTGCTGTCTCTTTCTGGTATTGTAATATTTTTGTATTGCCTCTCTCTGTGTGTCTCTCTCTATGTGTCTCTCTTTATCTCTCTCTCCATTTCTCTGTCTCTACCTCTCTGTCTCTCTATGTCTCACTTTGTGTCTCTTTATGTTTATCTTTCTCTGTCCCTCTGTCTCTATGTCACTCTCTCCGTCTCTGTCTCTCTACATCTCTCTTTCTTCTTCTTCTTCGCGTTCACCAGCTGTACACTCTGGCGGAAAGTTCTGGTTGCTCGTCAACTACTGAACTGCAGTCCTGCTCCAGAACCTGAGTGTTGCGTGTGCATCAGTTTTACAGATCTCATTCTCTTGAATACAGACTGTTGGTTTCTTGCCTCTCCGGCAGATGCACTCCGACTTCATAGGAGGCTTCCCAATTAGTCGACTCTTATGACATGAGGTGGGTCTATTCTTGTTTTCCCCTACAATGGGGCCCCGGAACCCAATCGGGGGACATCTCTCTTTGACTTTCTTTCTGTATGTCTATCTGTCTCCCTCTGTCTCTCTTTATTTGTTTCTATCTTTCTGTGTGTGTCTCTGTCTCTAACTGTATCTCTGTCTCTCTCTGTTTCCCTCTATTTCTCTCTGCCTCTCTCTGTCTCTTTTTCTTGATGTCTCTTTTTCGTTTAGTCCCTCTCTTTGTCTCTCTTTCTCTGTCTCTATGCTTTTCTCTCCCGTCTCTCTCTCTCTCTTTCTCTATCATTGTCTCTCTCTTTCTCTCTCAGTCTTTCTCTCTCTGTCCCTCTCTCTATCTCTGTCTCTCTCTGTCTAACTGTGTATGCATGTTTTTTTTCTCTCACTCTCTCATCTTTGCCTAAATTAACATCTACAGCTCTTTTTTCTACTATGGACTATATGAACTAGCAGTCTCTCATTCCCCTTCGTTAAACACCTACCTCCCCTTTCCTTACCACTGACACCATTAGTTATCTTCCTTTGTCTTGTCTGCTAATCCCCCACTTTCCTATTGTCTGCTAATCCTCCATTTCCCCTTGTCTGCTAATCCCCCACTTTGCACTGCCTACTGATCCCCTATTTCCCAAGTCTGCCAATCCCAAACTTACATATCTGGTAATCTCACCGATCTCATATCTGCCAATCTCCCCTCTTCCGATTTCTCCTAATCCCCTATTTCCCATGTCTGCCAACTACCAGCTGCCAAATCTGCTAATCTCCCATTGCTCATATCTGCCAATCTTTAACCCCCCATTACTATTTCTCCTAATCCCCAATTTTCCCAAACTATTCATCACCCACTTCCTATATATGCATATCCTCCACTTCCCAACCCTGCCAATCACTTATTTTATCTAAATCATGCACTTCCCATGTCTTCCAATTCCCTACTTCCCATGACTCCTTATCCCCAATCCCCATGACTCCTAATTCCCCCTCCCACCCTACTTCCCATGACTCCCAATCCCCTGCTTACAATTAACTCCTAATCCTCCCTCCCAACCTACTTCCAATCCCCTGCTTCCAATTAACTCCTAATCCTCCCTCCCAACCTACTTCTTATGACTCCCAATTCCCCGCTTCCAGTTCTCCTAATCTCCCCTCCCCCTCTACTTCCAATTACTCCCAATCCCACGCTTCCAGTTAACTCCAAATCCGTCCTCATCTCAACTTTCCATGACTCCTAGCTCCCACTTTGCTATGTTTTACCTAACACCCATTTTGCTATTTCTGCTAATGCCCAATTTGTCAAGTTCTACAAAACGAAATATTTCACTTACCCAACTGGGATGTCTCCCACAATTTTCACTTTATAAACTTCCTCCAGCTGGACAAAATATGAGATCACAGTTCCAAGAACTACCTGTGGTTATTTAAATGACAATGAATAACATTACTTTAGTATTTTAGCTTTGTCTTTCAAGCATCGACATCATCAATTTTTTTCTAGCAAAGCCTTTCCTCCTCTTTCTCTTCCTCGTCTTCTTTTTCCTCTCTTTTTCCTTTCTTTATCTCCTCCTTCTCATCATCATCATATCATCATCATCTTCTTCTTCTTCTTCTTCTTCTTCTTCTTCTTCTTCTTCTTCTTCTTCTTCTTCTTCTTCTTCTTCTTCTTCTTCTTCTTCTTCTTCTTCTTCTTTTTCACTTCGTCTTCTTCTTCTTATCATTTTGCCCTTTATTCGCCACACTGGAGCAGGGGCACCAATCAGCACACACTAAGTGATCCAGCTCACTGTATGTTCAGCAGACTTTTTGCACTTCATTCCCTTATCCATATGGTTTTGGTCTGCCGTTATTTTTTTTGACCTTGTGGGTTCCAGTGCAATGACATTGTAGTTACATTATCACAGTGTGCGTCCATTTGAATGCCAACATATTTTCTAGACCATTTGATTCAATAGAATGTATTTATTTCTTCTCCAGTGGTTTCCATTACATTTAGCCATCGTGAAGTTGGATTTCATGGGTTTGTAATTTTTTTTTCCCCTTAAAACTGTTTGAAAATATTTTATAAAATAGACTTTGGAGGAATGTCATCAGTGGAATTCATCCAGAACACCAAAGACAGAGATCTGTGGTGACGCATGAACGCCTACGCCAGCTGGCAAGGCTTTCAATGTTGATGTGACTTTTTTTGATTCCATAGTTGTAGATACTCTTAAATGTGAAACATGTTGATGAGAATTTTCACTGCAGCATGTTTCAGTTTTTTAGGGCCGTTAAACAGCATATTGTTTTGTTTATTTCGTCGCCACAACAGTTCGTGTTTTAATACCATAGTCGAGCGAGTAATTAATCCCTTTTACCCTGCTGACCTAGAAAAAAAAAACTAGAGTAAACTTGACAATTTTGAGAAGCCCTATTTTCATTTAAAAATATTAGATATCCCGTTTTAAGTTGACGGCATTATGGTCACCCTAGCTCACATATAGTGTAATAATTCAGCCTTGTTACTCACCTGATTGTGGATAGACATGACTACAAACAACACAGGCACACAGGCATAGACTTTAGGAGAAAGAAAGTTTCTCACATGATTGTGGATAGACATGACTACTAACAACACAGGCACACAGGCATAGACTTTAGGAGGAAGAAAGTTTCTCACATGATTGTGGATAGACATGACTACAAACAACACAGGCACACAGGCATAGACTTTAGGAGGAAGAAAGTTACTCACAACAATCAACTCAGCAGGTACCGGCATCTTCAGCTTTGGTTTGATCTTTGGGTTGCCATTGATGTACTCCTTCACAACCACCAGCAGCATCATACACACAATAGAGGCAATGAAAGTGACAGCATTTGTCTTTGGCAAGTTCAGGAAGATGTCCCTGTAAGACTGTGGATACCAAATGTTTGTCTTCATTAACTCTTTGAGTCTCAGGAGGTTTTGCATCACAGGCCCAGAGGGTAGTAAATAGAGTCATACAATCGGCGCATCATGCGTTCATTGGGCTTCAAGGTAGGAACCTATGAACGTATGATGCGTTCTTTGGGACTCAAAGAGTTAATCAGTAGGTATTTTTGAACTTGGTTTCATATTTACTATAGAAAACAATTATAGCTTTTGAACTGACTGCATTTTCCTGTGTATATAAGAGGCCAATTTTATAAGAGATACTATTATTTTAGCCTAAAATAAGGAAATAAATGTTTAGAATACATTCTGTATATAAGGCAATGTCTAATTTTAAAGTAAACAAAATATGGGAAAACATATAGTTTTATGTACAGGGGAAATATGATAAATATATATGAAGTACTGTAAGGAGATCACACACTGGGATAAACACCTGGTGTCACAAAGTGCTACCATGCGGATGATAATCACCCGTGGAGAGATCCCGGAAACACTCTTCAACCGTTAGGTTATATTAGGGCCCCTGGCAACAGCCAGAGAAGGGTTTCAAAATAACAAAAAACTTCCTCCCTTATTGGGACGACGACTGTAGTGCATAAACTAATTCTTACAAAATCATGGATCAGGAAGAAAGACACTGACATAAATAAATGAATGAATGAATGAACAAATGAATGAATCCAGAATTTTCATCACTGCACTCAGGACATTCTCACACGTGCTCCGTCTCCTTCTTCAGTCACTAACGAAGAGATGACATGCTAACAGAACAAGCTGCAACCTGATTAAAAGTCTGCCGCTGTTTACCTTTCAATATCACCTACATTCCATATAATGTATGTATAAGATTTATAAATAAAGAAAATTGGCTTTTAAACAAGACAATGTACTGGAAACTGAATGTCCTTAAATATACTGAATGTCAAAGCAAGGTAGTAAGGACAGTAACAGAAGATACAGTTTCTCGGAGGAGAGAAAGGACTGACAGTACAAAGGCAGACATGGACAAGGGAATACTTCAGGCAGACGAGTTGGCAAGGGACAGAGATATTTCCAGGCAGTTTTGGACGAAAGCACATTTGGCACAGGATCTGTGATACGATGATAATGATGTATTTGATAGCAATATCATCATCATCAAGTGCCTTGCCAGCTGGTGTAAGCGTTCATGTGTCGCCACATATCTCGGTCTTTTGTGTTTTGGATCAATTCTACTGATGATATTCCTCCACGACATTGTCTTAAGCCATCCACCATCATTTCTCTTGGTCTGACTCTGCTTCTGCCAGTGATCTTTCCAGTCGTCATGATATTTTCCAGGGTTCCTTTTTTCATCACATGGCCAAAGAACTTTGTTTATCTCTTTCTCATTGTTGTATATAATGTTCTACTTTCATTAGCCATTTCCAGGCATTAATTTTGGTTATTTTGACAGTCCAAGGTATTCTCAACGTTCATCTCAAGAATCACATATCAGTTGCCTCCAAACTTTTCTTAATTTGTATTTTCATATGCATTTCTTATTTTCTCATATGAATAATGGGTTGTGTTCATGTTTGTTTTCAGCACAAAGGCGGTTGTTGTTTTTAAACATACTGGAAATATATCACCTGAACTGTGTTTGAGTGTATACCAGTAAAGTATATTCTTTAGTGGAGTTTATCCATCTGATTCTTTGTCTTTTTCTTCTTCTTTTTTAGTTGACATTTACGGCCTCATATATTTTATCTATCAATCGTTTGTTTGGCCATCCTATAAGTGTGCTTCTGTTACGTCTGACATGGATATTTGTGGTACATGAGGAAGGACAAGTACAAGATAACTCACATATACAAGCTTGAAGGCACCACTGTACTGGCCCATGGGAATACCAAATATATGCTTGATCTGGCTTGTGAACACATGGCACGCTGCTCCTGTGGTAAACCCACTGATCAATGGATCAGACAAGTACACAGTGAGGAACCCAAGCTGGAACACACCCAGCAGCAGCTGGGAAATAAAAATTAATTAAAACATAGGTTAATAAAGTTAGCATATTGTGCATAGTTTCTTAAACAAGAATACACATTTTTATAACTCTATGTTCTCCCCGTGTGGGTTCCGGAGCCCCAATGTGGGGAAAACAAGAAAAGACCTACTGCCTTCCCACCACGCATGTCGTAAGAGTCGGCTAATTGGTTGTGTTTGGGCCAGCGCTGCATGTTTTTGGAGCGTTAAAACCGCTGGCGTACTAAAATATACAAGACGCGAAATCAACGGCATCCCCGAACACCCCCATAACCTTGTGCGAAGGTGACAGGTTCAGGAACTACAAATCAGAAGTGACCTGGTGTGTCTATAGGCGGGTCCTGGGAAGATTTGCGTTATGTTTACCTGTTTGTCCTCTCTGGGCTATCATCTCAACAGTCTGACACTCCAAGATCAGAAGATCTCAGTCTGGATGGCAGACTAACAGGACCTGCAAGTCTGACACTGTGAGACCAAAGGATCTCAAGCTGATGGTATACCAACAGGACAAACCCAGTAACACTATTCAACCTCTGAAGAACCTCCCGTAATGACCACACTAATCCACGGTTACCTACAGACATATGCAGGTAAGCATGTATACTTGAAACTCAAATGAGTTTAAAAGTTGACAGATTATCCTCATTGTATATCGAACCATTCAGTCCATAAGAGCTCGAATCTCCTGCTTAGTAAATTCCCCCCCCCCTCCCCCCCCCCCAGCGTGTAGCGGCTGACGACTCCCGCTGTGTTTTTGTTTCTTATTCTTCTTTGGCTTTTTTGCTTGTGCTCTTGTCTGGCCACACTTTTTTGTTGTTAACATGTTCTTGCAGTCTGGTCATGGTTACAGATTTACAGTCTTCACTTGGTTTTTCACAAACGTCTCACTTCTCACTAAGTATTCAGAATATTGGCCATGTCCATGGCTCGTCCGCCCTCCACAGTAGCTTTACCAGCAAGCCTTTCATCATGCTCATTACCTTGTACGCCTGCATGCTCTGGAACGAATATGAAACTGATACACATCAGCCACGAAAGCCTCAGATACTCCAAATACACTTCGTACCCAGCCCATCTCTATCTACCTAGGCATACTCATTGATTCACCGATAAAGCATACCCGGTTGAAAGTCTAGGTAAGTAGTAAGTAAGTTTTACCCCATCAGAACATCACACAGAGTAATAAACACCCGATGGCACAAAGTTCCACCATGCGAATGAGGATCAACCGTGGTGAGGTCCCGGAAACCCGTTCAACTGTTAGGTAGGACCCCTGGCAACAGACAGGGTGAGCCTACAAAATAACGAAAAATTGTATCCCGCATGAGGATGACGAATTAATAAAGTCTAGGTCTCCAGCCATGTTATTTATACTGAAATCAGTATACCTACTTATTTGTTTCAGAGGGAGAGGGGAATCTGCATTTAATTTAATATTAGACAAAGAACACTGGAGCCTCACGAATCATTGCAACAGGGCTACCACATCACCACAAACATCCCTTTACCTGTATAGCTCCCACTGCAAATGTTACAGACATTGCCAGTTTGAGCTTCATATCTAGCAGTTCTGCCGAGTTGTCCATGATCTCGTAAGTGACGTTTGCCCCTGTACTGACTGTCAAATTCCAGGTTGTAGGCTCCAAGCCTTGAGATTTCATGCCTTTGTCCACAACAGAGCCTACCATTAGTGATATGACAGCAAATGTACCTGGAACAAACATAGAATGTGTCATTCTGTAAAAACAATCGAAAAAGCTGACACACACAAATGCACATACACACAATCACAAATTTCTGAATAATGTTTTGTAGTTGCATACATCAGTTTGAATTATGGAAATAGGTTTACTTACCTATTGAAACATGTTTGGAAGTTCCAAAAAAGAAGTACAAAATGACTGGGAAGAAAGAGACGTACAGTCCAAACACTGGCGGGAGGGTTGAAAGTTGTCCGTAAGCCATCCCTGTAGTAATAAAATAATCAATATGTTCATTGAAAGTTAGACCGTCCTCTGAAAACTCCTTTTTAATTTAAGAGGTAGCCAATCTCGAGCTTTGCTCATACATGCACGCACACATATGTTCGCAGGTGCGCGCGCTCACACACACACTCAAACACACACTAAGAAAGACAGAAGGCAAATGAAACAGAGTATAAATAATAGACGAAATGAGAAGCGACACACAAACTGAAACAAGGGAATGTCCATTCAGTCTTTATCAACCAACAAGTTTTATTTCTGTGATTTTTTTAAACAAAATTGTGCGTTACTCCCTTTTTCTTGTACTTTTTCAATTGTCAAAAGTTAAACGTAAAAAAAAAAAAAAAAAAAGTTAAGATCCCTTTTCACGCCTTTAGGCGCATCGGGCATATGGGAAGAGCTCCTCATATTTTTACGGACCAATCGGCACTGGGTAGGTTATGTGGTCAGCCTTATGCTGGCTGTCTTCACTTCCCCAGGACATTCATCCTAGTACCCAGTTTAGGCTGAGCCGACCTGCGACGCCCCATACCATGATAACAATTTTGCTAAATTAAAAAAAAAAAAAATCAATTCAAAGCAAACAATCAGGATGCTTACAGTAACTTGAAAAAAAAATGAGTATAAGGAACTGTTCAAAACATAAGATACAAGCGTTTTATTGGCGTTTCACTCTTGACCGGTCATCTCTAGCAGCTACTTTCAGTGAGTTGTTAGACAAACCAGTTTTCATTATATGTTGTTATTATTATTATTATCGAACACCGGCTGTGAATTCCAGTGGAAGGTCCCGGTTAATCGTCCGCTTGGACTTTTGGCTTTCACCTGGACCTGATTTTTGCGTGTACAACCGTTTTTAATTTCCTTGCCTCTTGGGCAGCTGTACGCCGACTTCGAAGGAAGACGTCAGGCCTATTTCTAGGGTGACTGTGGCCATTGTTTTTGTGTGGGTCGAGACGTTGCCTAATTTGTGTGGTGTCCATTTTGTCTCCCTCGCCGCAGGTATTGCCCCCAGAGTACTCCTTTGGGGCAGCCCCCTGTGGAACAGTTGGCCCTCAAGGTAAAGGCAGGGGCAGATCATGAGCATTCCCCGCCATCCAAGGGAGGCTTCCATGCATGCAGAGCCGGCACATATTGCTCTGATTCTGGGCTCACCCAAGGAATCGTCACGTCCCTGCACATGCCTGCTTAACCTCACAAACCCATATCAGGCCTCCCACTCGACACAGGGGCTGCGCCCTCTGGAAGTCAGCGGGGAGCAGCCCGTGGGTTTTGGACTTTTGTGACCACACAGATAGGTACATTAGCCTGACAGAATTTCACATCCTGAATCAGGCGTATCGTTATCAGTTTTGTCCCAACACTCGGGCGAGTGGGGTCTTTGGGTGTGGATATTCGGTCTTTTTCAGTTCAGTGCAAATTTTGATGGTCAGATTTTGATCCGTATGATCTAGTTTTGTCGGACATTAGGCTTAGCCATCCGATGGATGGTTGCTGTTGTGGTGTACGTCCCAGCTCGGTGACGACGACGCTGAGGGTTAACCGAGGATGTACGTGAATGGCCAGCCTATGGATGGTTGTTGTTGTGGTGCACCTCAGCGCGGTGACGACGACACTGAGGGCCAACCGAGGATGTACAAGGATGGCCAGCCTATGGATGGTTGCTGTTGTGGTTGTCTTAAACAGCGCGGTGACGACGACTCTGAGAATTAACAGAGGATGTGCAGTGAGCAATGATCTCTTTACTCAGCAGTCTTTTAACCAAGGGTTGTAATTTTAGCTGTATGTTTGTCAACCCTACTCATGTTCCTAATGAGTTTTGATAACATTTTTTTACAGACCCAAGGCGTTTGGGGGCGGGCTGATGAGAGCCACAAGGACACATCACCTCTGGGGGCCGCCAAACTCCGAGATCCCCTGACAGCTCTGTTAATGCTCATTTGAGACATTATCCGTGGCGCACGACGAGGACGTGCTGTAGGGGTCTTGCGTGAGGTTCCGTACAACCAGGATAGTGAAGGACTGGCGCCCGAGTGACGTACGGAGTATCTCCTTATACACATCATGTTGGACTTAACTTCCCCTCACGCCTGTGACATAACTCACCGCGCCACATTATATGTTGTAAAGGCTATCAAAATAATCTCCACGCATCGCTGCACATGTGAAGGGATTTCCAAACAGTCTCCACACGTGTGTTAATTACTGTATATTCCATCTTGTAGGGGTACATAGATTAATTTTCAAACAAAGATCGCATAAATTCGCTGCTTTAAGTAAACAGCAGCACCTGTGCAACTGTAAATTATAAAGTCATAAGGACATGGAAAATCTAAGGCCATATGCAAAAATTCGTCTTGATCCGAGTTATTTCTGAAGTGTGAGGGCCCGACTTTTGAATCGCACTCTAGTAAAAGACGGAAAACCACATCCAACTTCCCTCTTAGGCGCTTTACGTCATGAGCAGTAGGACATCAGAAGGGAAACTACATCCAACTTCTCTCTTAGGCGATTTACGTCATGAGCAGTAGGACAACAGACGGAAAACTACATCCAACTTCTCTCTTAGGCGATTTACGTCATGAGCAGTAGGACAACAGATGGGAAACTACATCCAACTTGTCTCAGGCGAATTACGTCATAAGCAGTAGGACAACAGACGGGAAACTACATCTAACTTCTCTCTTAGGCGCTTTGCGTCATAAGCGAGAAGCAGTAGGACAACAGACGGGAAACTGCATTCAACTTCTCTCTTAGGACAACAGAAAAATAACAGGGAAAAAACGTAAACTGAGATACTTTTCACGACATTGGAAAATAAGGCATAAACTTTAATAGTACCATGTTCATAGACCAAAGGGCAGTCGATGGGTGATGTAGTCAACGGCTTTACTTCCCATAACATTACTTATATCAAATTTTACGCTAGGCGGACCTAGGAACCGCGGTCCTGTAGCGGCTAGACGCTCAACATAGGGAAGAAACGTCTTAGGTTCGAGTCCGTTCCGAGCCGGATTTAAAAAAAAATACTTTTGTTTTTAAATAATGGCTTTTGCTCCCATGACGACCCAGCCTAAAATTGGTACCAAGTAGATCAGGGGAGATAAAAGTAGCCAGCATGATGTGGACTACATCACTAGGATGACTATAAGTGCCGTATTCGCCGAGGGTATCGATTTGTGGGTGGGGTTGCACCGTTCCGTCATTAAAAAAAAAATAAACAATTAAACGTCAATTGGAATAACAGAGTTTTTTTTAACTGTTTCTTAAGCACAGACGATGCAGTCTGTGCCTACCTAAAATACTGTCCGACGATATGGTCACACTATTATATCACTCAAAGAGTTACTATGGAGGTCATGGCAGTGACCAAAGCAATAGCACGGCTGGAGACACAGATGTTTTCCTGCGCTTCCTTTCTCATTGACTTAGTGAGCATGTTCAGGAAGACAGTGAGTGGCGCCTCTAAAGCGGTCAGAGCTGACACATCAGTTCCATATTTGTGCCAGGGCTCGCAGGCGTGTAAGAAAATGAGCAAGCTGATCGGCTTGCAGACACAGCTTCTGTGGAGGGCTGACAAGCCATGGACCATGTCGATATTTTGAATGCTCTATGAGAAGTAAGACGCTTTCGAGAACCAAGTGAGGACTGTGAATCTGCAACCATGACCAGACAGCAAGACCAACATGTTAACAGGATGTGGCCAGATAAGAGCACTATGCACGAAGCCAAAAAAGAATGACTGACTGACTGACTTTCTACCCCACTAGGACATCACACAAGCGACAAACACCCGATGACACAAAGTGCCACCATGTGGATGAGGATCGCCGTGGAGGGGTCCCAGAAACCGCGTTCAGGCAATTGGCCATATTGACGGCTTGCTTATATTGCGGTCCCTAGATAGGGCTGACACACATGGGACCCCCACCTGGGACCCCCACCCCCGACAAAATATAAATAAGAATAAGAAACCAATACAGAACTGGTGTCGTGAGCCGCTTTACGCTGCTGGATTTACTAGGGAAGGGATGTGAGCAATTATGGACTGATTGGTTCGATGTGCACTGTGGATAATCTGTCGACTAACTAACTCAATCAGGGTCAATTGATCTGTTAAAAAAAAAAATAATAGCTTGCCCAATGCTCCATTGTCCTTCACTTAACCTACATACTAGCAGCTGTCTATTACTTCCCGTTACACCTATAAATTACACGTAATTCTCTCCCCTGCTTCCGCCACAAAAGACTTGATTTCAAATAAGACAGCAGAGAAAACCCTCCTCATTATAACAGGCTTCGAGGAAGTTGAACGACGAGCAGGTTTGAAATTTGTGTTTTCTCAAGAATGACGAACAATCTTCCCTACTTACCTTGTGGTATATGCATGATGCCCACCGTTAGACCTGCAATGATGTCTGGGATAAGATCCTGTCTGACGCGGTACTGTTTCATGATGGACAGGAAGGGCAGGTGTGAGGTGCAGAAGCTCCGCACACATGACGGTGAACATTCACATTTCCTGGCTTTAGACTTCACCCAGGTGCCAAGATTGCGTGCCGGGCGCTTTCCGCCGTCAAAACCCTGTTTTAAAATATAATAATAGTAAAATCGTTGGAGTCTGTGGCTTAGGCGTTGTGAACGCGCTTTGCAATGCCGGGGTGCCGGGTTCGATCTCTGCTGCGGACGATTTGCCTTGCGCTGGTTTTGACAGTGGCACCGAGAGCTGACCGTCCAGAGGTAATGGCAAACTACTGGACGTAAAATTTGCCTCGAAAAAACCCACAACAGCCAATAAACGCTGGGGTTGGTTCTGCAACGTCCTTTAAAGGATACGCAACTTACTTTAATATTAAAATCAGCAAAAACTTACAGGGCTGTAGGGTGGTGTAGCCGAAAAGGAATCACTAAAAAGTCATCCTATTATGGGACGCAATTTTTTATTGTTTTAAAGCTCCATCCCGCTTACGCCAGACGACCTAATATAACCCCAACGTGCTGAACACGGTTTCTAGAACCTGTCCCCTTGTGATCCTCATCCGAATGATGGCACGTTGTGTCACCGGGTGTTTATCGCTCAGAGTGATTTACTGGTAGGGTTGAACGTCAGTCAATCAAAAGGATTCCTTATTTGAAACTTTCTTGGAGGATGAAGCAAGATTCCCGTTGATTTCATGTAGCAAGTTCTTTTACGAGCGTCACTTTCATCACTGCAAGATTCTTTCCCTGTCTTTTGTTTTCTATGTTCTATGTCCTATGTGTTCATCGATCGCCACTTCTTACGAGAATCATCTCTGCCACCATGGGACCCGTCTTAAAAGAAACCATTGGCGTTTGCGGTGCCCCAGGTCTAAAGTTGAAGAGAATATTTGGGGATTTGTGCTCTTGGCTTGATATCAATTCAGGATGAGATTTTTGAAAGGTGGTCAGATTAGTCAGGTGGCACCCCAAAGCGTAAAAAATATACAGTCCGACAATACAATACAAAACAGACAGTCAGACAGTAAAATAAAAAAAAAATAAAAAAAAAGACAGTCAGAGAGTACAGTTTAAAAAAAAAAAAAAAAAAAAAAAAACACCAGTTAGACAGTACAATAAAACATGAAGTACAATAAAAACAGACAGGTAGACAGTACAATATAAAACAGATAGTCAAACAGTACAATAAAACACCAGACAGTTAGTACAATTAAAAACATACAGTCACACAGAACGGTAAAAAACAAGCAGTCAGACAGCACACGCCCCCCCCCCCCCCCCACACACACACACAGAGAAAACAGGCAGTCACACAGTACAATTTAAAAAAAAAACTGATGTCAGATAGTACAATAAAAAACAGACACTCAGACAGTACAATAAAAAACAGACAGTCAGACAATACAATAAAAACAGTCAGACAATACAATAAAAAACAGTCAGACAATACAATAAAAAACAGTCAGACAATACAATAAAAAAAAAACCAGTCAGACAGTGCAATAAAAATAAATGTCTGTCAGACATTACAATAAAAAAGATAAGTCATACTGTACACTAAAAACAGTCCGACAGTACAATAAACAATAGATAGTCATACAGTACAATTAAAATTAAAAAAAAAAAAACAACAGTCAGACAATACAATTTAAAAAAAAAAAAGGCACACAGTACAACAACTACCGGAGATTAACTCGCATACTGGACTCCAAGTTACTTCGTCACTGTAGAATTATCCGGTATCTGTTAATCTGGCAGTCAAAGTTTCAGCTTCTTAACAAACGGCTAACCGCATAGTTAGGGATAGGGCTCGTGTGCCAAACAAAACCACACAGAATGTTCATCACAATTCCTTGTGGAAAAATTGACACAGACTGCAGTCTCAACATGTCCACTAGCGTACACACATTTTCAAAGCGTAAGGTAGCCATCAGAAGTGCTAACGCAAACAGTCCGACATTAGAAATGCAGTTCATCATCGACGGAAGCAGCAGTTACAAACAGATCAGGAGTTGCACACGCGATCAAGTTTAATCATACAAGGCACCACAAATTATGTGGCATTTTCTCTTTCTACAGTTCACAGACAATCAAATTAGTCAGATGGCATCCGAAAGGGTAAAAAATAGACAGACAATACAAATAAAAAAAAAAAATTAAAAAAACAGACAGTAGAATACTGTTGGTCACAATCGAATAACATTTCAATTGAAATCCGCAGCTCACAGTGTCTTGCCACAACTAAAAAATAGTGACCGTGCCTATCGTCAGTTGGACTGTCCCTATTATAACTCTTTTAAATGGTTGAACGGGGTTTCTAGAGTTTCTCCTGTTTTGTGTGCATCCAGATAGCCACTCCTTATTGAGCCAATATCGTCTCAATTTTTCAGACTATATTCCTTGAATGAATGAATGAATGAATTTATGAATTTATGAATAGAAAGTAATGTAAAGTAAGGACCTTTTCCCACGCCTTGAGGCCTATTGGGAATATACAGCAAAACCTATATTTTTTATAAAGTAATCGACCTTAGGTAGGCGACGTCAGCACCACGCCGGCCGCCCTTACTTCCCGGGACTGCACCTGCTACCCACTTAAGGCTGGGTCGACCTGGGAGTCGAGGTCATTTTTTGGAAAAGGTCCAGCTCCGTCTAAACGAGGACCCACGACCTTCCGATCCGCAGGCGGGCGTCTAGCCACCAACGCCACGGCGACTCCCGTAATGAATGAATGAATGAATGAATGAATGAATGAATGAATGAATGAATGAATGAATGAATGAATCGATGAATAAATAAATGAATGAATGGATAGGTGAATAAATGAATGAATGAATGGATGGATCAAGAACTGACAACACTGCACTCGGGCCATTCCCTTAGGTGCCCCGTCCTCTTGTTCAGCAGCCAACGAAGAGTTGACATGCTTGTAGCAACTGTTGCAACCAGATTAAAATTCCGCCTGTATTCCCCTTTAAATGTTGAAAAAAAAAAGGGGGGCAGAAAAAAAAGAGTCTTATCCGCGATCTGTATAAACTGAAGTAGCAGAACTGTCAGAAAAATCCATGGGCTCTGAGAAGGATGTTTAGAAAGTATATACATGTAAATACATATGTTTTTACACACAGAGACACACACACATACACACACATTAGAATACTGGGTTAATAAGGTCATCATCATCATCATCACGTGCCCTGCCGACAGGCGTAGGCGTTCTAGATCTCTATCCCTTGTCCACTGGATCAGTTCCACCAATGATATCCCACCGTGCAACCATCGCAGTCGATCCATCAAATTCTCTCTTTGTCTGCCTCTCCTTCTTCTACCGTTGATCTTTCCGGTCGTCACACAATATTATCCAAAGCCGCTCCCCCTGCCCACCCTCTTATAACATGAACAGAGAAGACGTTACTAAGGTAGGGGTGGTTCATTACCTCGCGCCACTTTTTTCATTGTTACAGTTACATTTAAATAACACTTTAATGAACTGATTAATATGATTAATTGAACACAGGAGGGTTAGATTGCGGAATAGACTGCGTTACCCATATGAGGTATAAATGGAAAAATAGGATGATGATGATGACAATTCCGATGAATATAATGATGACGATGAGGAGGAGGAGGAGAATAAAACAATGAATGAATGAACTCATTGAGTGCATGGAGCTTCAAAATGGAAAATCTAAGTCTAAGAAGAGGATTTACACTTTCTATTCTGGTAAAGTAAGGGTATTTTTTCCACACCTTTAGACGTATAGGGCATATAGGGCTAGACCTATATTTTTATAGACCAATCGGCACAAGATGAGAGATGTGGTCAACATCAGGCCGGCCACCTTTACTTCCCAGGACTGCATGTTGTACCTACTCAAGGTTGGGTCGACCTGGGAGCCAAAGTCATTAAAAAGCGAACCCACAGCCTTCCGAACCTGTGACGAGCTGGTCTGGATAGCTCTTTCTGCCCTTTTAAGTATTGCTGTGTACTAGTAATATTATTATCAAATTTGTAAACATTTCTGTATTGCTTTCTAATAGCCTTAATAATACTTTATTAATTAAGAAGTTAAAAGGCGAAATGAGATTATGAGTAGTACAAGGGGTAACTCAAGAGTTACTTCCCCCTTCCTAGGACTTCCTACTTTCATTTTCATACCAGGCACGATTAGGGGAGTCAAGATTTTGCTCTCCTCAATTGACGCAGTTCAGACTAAAGTTCTGTAGTCTTGTTGCCTGTGTTTGAATTCCCTACCAGGGGTGAGTTAAAATAATAAGTTTAATTTGATCTATTTCTACTATTCCCCTGAATTATTTTATCTGCTGAACTCTGAAATTTGATGCCCACATGGCTTAGAAATCCTTGTGAATTCCCTTATCCTTACTAACCACGTTTATGATCTATTATGTACATGTATGCAAACATATGATCTATTTGATTATTAAAATAATGTTTATTTGATACTAGAAACGTGTATTGGTATTTTTAATAATTATAATTATATTAATTAGGTGAGAATTATGTCCTCATGTGAAATCTCGGCCAGTTCCGATTTCCAGCATAGTGAGACAATTAAAAAAGGAATGAAGTGTATATTCATTATACCTAATCTTTACTAAGTTGATTTCACCTCATGGGGATATTAGCTTGATAAATCACTTTATGGCTTTAATTTAGATTTAGTCCAGATAATTCTGAGACTGGTTTAAGAGCTTGAAAAGTGAATACCACAGTGAGGCTGAATTTAATATTCACACTGTCAGAGAAGAAGACGAGAGATGTATGGCCCATGCTTGTAATTATTATTGTTGTATATATATTTCCCCATTACTAGGAAGATATTTCAGTTCTACTGCAGGTGGCCTTACAATTGTAATAATTATATTTCACCCTTTTCAACTTCTAAACTCTACTGAATAAGATTTAGCACATGTGTGGATTTAGATTTAAACTGAAGTGAGTGTTGTATATTTTATGTTAATACTGTGACAGATGGAAAGTCCATTGTCATCTATGATTGTATTTTGACATCTATCACAGCACCCAGTTATATTGATGGAGATATGTCAATCCCATTTATTTTCAAACAGTGCAAAGCACCTGTTGAGTTTATGGCCTTGGTAAACTCACTTCCTGATTCTCATTCTTTGTGATGTGAACCATGTGGTTTAAAATGAAAATATTGTGAAATATGACTGTGTATGTCTGTGTGTGTAAGCATGTTAACCCTTCAAAGGAGTACTAGTGTACAGACATCAGAACAATTTACACTGATGAATGTCCTTTCTTATTGTATGATGTAAACTCTTGTGCTTGAGAGTATTCATGAAATTGATGTTTCCTAAATATTTCCCCATCAGGATTATGGACCATGTTCTGTAAACATTCCCATTCTATACCAGTAGAATATGAACACCTGTTACTATCCTACTCCATATATATGTGTGTAGTGTAACATTATATGAGAACTGGAGGCACTATTGTCTCCAGTGAGAACTTTCCAAACTGTTTATATAGGGACTGTTCTATTGTTCTAGTTCCAGGTGGGAGTTCCAGAAGTAAATACCAGCGTAGCTGCAGATGCCGGATTGTCTGGACTGGACTGGAAGATTCGGCCTTCCTGATGTGTCTCCGAGGTTTAGCTAGAAGCTGACCAAAGAAACCTAAGCTACAGCTAAGTGGACAGATTTGTCTACTAACCTCATATAACAGGATTTTATTTCCACAGCCACTCAAATTATTAGCTTGAATTCCAAAAAATAAATAAATATTATAGTTTTAATGTTCCTACAGTTTTATGGAGTTTCATTTTAACTGTAATCAATGCGTCAGTGAACTTAAGAACATTTAAATATACAAGTTTATTAACAGTAGGGAATAAGATGTGGGCAAACCCCAAATCCTCTAATTTAACCAGCAAGGCTGGGGGTAATATAAACCTTTTTAAAGATTTATTGTTTGTAGTTCCCTCTGTAAAGTGCACATAGTGCAGTCGCTAGAGTAAAGCGAATTTACCCGCCACAGAACCGCAAGCATGAGTGTAGCAGCTACGTCGCAGCGACTCCCACTTTCTATTCCAGGTAACATAAAACATGACCCTTGACCCGTTAGGGTCGTCAAGGCGTATCGATGGAAGCACTTGCACACATAAAGCCTGCCATCTTTGACTTCCGTTTAGTGAATAGGTTTATGATAACTTAGTCCTCCTATTCATTTCTTTGCCCTCCTCTTTTTCGACGACCCTCATTGTTCCTTGAAGTACAGTCTTTGCAATCCAATCACCACGTGGGAGAGAGAGTGTTTTAGCAAGAACCAGAATTTAAGGGGTTGACATAACAGAATAATGGGATATGGAAAGTAAAAAATGTGTGCCGAATAAAGTACTATAAAGTGTAACAAATGCACGTATGGAGAGTTCCCTGGTACTGAAAAAGTTAACAGGCAACATGGCAATGAAGTAACAAACATCATAACAATAAAAAAAATCAACTAACCAAACATCTCACAATTGACATTATATTATCCTTTTATCTTTGAAGTTGTCTCTGCGGAACCTCACCTGATCAAAATCTTTCTGGGTGTAAATCGGTCTTTCAATAACAACCATCTCCTCCACAAATGTTTCGTCCTCTCCATTTGCTCCGTCGTCTCTTCTATGAGGCCCTGATGACAAGTATTGACAGACATTTTTGTTTCGAACTAATAATAGTGAAAAATAATAATAACAATAATAATAATTATGAATTAAATATTAAAGATGAATGTTAGTTGTGTATACTTTACAGGGCATTGCAGAAATCAAACTCAGAATATGTTGCCCGTTTACTGTGACTTTACTAGGCACTTTTTAGGTTCAGTAGTTTGTCACTGCTTTCTCGATACCACTGGCAAACCAATGTTAGGTATTATGCTAGGATCGAAAACGGCACCTCGGCATTTCCAAGCGCCTTAGCCGCTATCGCCGAACGAAAATACTAACGAAATGTGAAATAATGTTATACATGAAGACAAATAAGAGTAATCACTTTGTGAGATCGTGCATCTTTCCACTAGTAGTACATTACCATAATTAACATCATCAACATCATCATCATCATCACCACTATCATTGTCCTACTGTTCCACTTTATATATATATGTGTGTGTGTGTGTGTGTGTGCGTGACTTTCACTCTAAACTGGACGTTTTTAAAACCACCTAGGACATTCTTCAAACCAAAATAGACGATTTTAAAATCTAATAGGAACTTCGACTATCTGTGAAAACTTAAGTAACAAAACAAAGTCAGAAAAATCCATGTTGGTTAACAGCTATTAACCAACAAAGTGATACAATCTAACGTAAAACATAAGCAGTTCAAAAGAAATAAAGTGACAAAAACCTTAATATAAGTTTAAGAAAGGTTCTATTTCGCTGAAAACTTTGCGCGATCTTTGAAGATCCGTGTGCAAATAACAATCCAAACGACAAGAAACAATTAGGATGTCGAAACAAATGCACCTGAAATACCAATGGAAAACTCGACAAAAACGTTTCCTTGCCAACCACTGGAAAATTCAAAGAATGAAAATAGTGAATAAGTCGCCAAAGTCGCTCTGTGTACTTGAAGAAAGATGTTTCATATTAAATTCGTCGCCTAGAGGAGCGTTAGCAGCTTGTCGAAACATGATAAGGTCCGTGTCTAACTGGCCCCGTTTACTTCCCCGTGTTCTTTCACAGTACCCATGTTTTTGGATGGCTTGTTCTGTGAGATAAGGGCTGTGTGTTGAGCCCACCTCGGTAAGGAAACAAACCTACAACCACCGGGTTACAGGCAAGTGTGCTAGCCATGTTGTCACAACGGCTCACACACACACACACACACACACACACACACACACACACACACGCGCGCGCATGCACAGAAGCAGGCGGATGAGGAGAGAGAGAGAAAATGAGAGAGAAAGGGAGAGAGAAAGACAGGGAGATTAAGAAAAGCAAAATAAAAACGGTAATTTAGTATCCATATATAAATGAAAGCTAACACTGTTCTAGTCATGATGATATCTGCTTTTTCTGGTTTGATGTCGAACAAGGCAAAACTGAGATCACTCTACACGTCAGGCTAGCAGCGCTGTTTTGTTTCAAGTACAAATGCATTCCATTTCTATACTGCTTGACGCTTCTTCCTCTCACCCTCACCCTTCCCCCAGTCTCCAAAGATTTGACAATGAGACAATGAAATTAACCGAAATATCCAAATGTGTTTATACAGAATTGATCAAGTTGGTGAAAAACAAACATGTCCCAAGTGCGCAAACACACTTACTGAATAGTCCTTTGTCTTTCTGACTGACTTTCTACCCCACCAGGACATCACACAAGCGATAAACCCGATGACACAAGTTCCATCATGCGGGTGAGATCACCGTGGAAGGGCCCGAAAACCGCGTTTAGACATTGGCCCTATTTATGGCCTGCCTATATTGCGGGCCCCCGGGAAAAACCCAAATGGGGCTTCAAAAAAAAAAAAAAAAAAAGAAAAAAATTAAAAGTCCTAAAAAGACGTAAGGGTGTTAAAAAAATATCGACAATGTCCCTTTTTGGGGTTTTCCTTTTATAGGGGGACAATTTTTTAAGATGAGTCATGAAAATGTGAGTAAATGAACTCATTTTTGGGGGGTTTAGAAACCCCGGATAGCGCCCTGTTTCCCCGGGTGGGGTTTTGGGCTCTAATGTGGTGGGGGGGGGGGGGATGAATAGCCCCCTGATCCCACACTTAAAAAGCATTCGAATATCACTAAAACGGGGTTTCCTCGAAAACGGGATATATCTGCCCGGGGGAAAAAAAACTAATAGCTGCATACACATCTAGATCTGTAAAACGGATTTCACGCAAAAAAAAAAA